TACTCCCAACCAGGCCCCATTTTACTGATGTGAAAACCAACCGAGGCTCAGAGCTGTTACATGAATTGCCTAAGGTAACGCTGCTAAAATATAGTAAAACCATGATTTCCCTCCATTCTTCTGGTTTCTTGTCCAGAGTTCCTTCCCCTACAGCCAGCGCCATAAGTCAGGTATCGGGGACATACACTCATAACAGAGAGCCCCTGGGTTTGCTTGAGGTGTCTGCATTTTTGCCACAATTGATTCCAATTTGACGGGTTCTAGGGGACCTCATGAAGGTTGGAGAGGAATTTTATTTGCTGTCTTTAGTAGGAAAAGTGGGATTTGGCTTGGGACAATTTGTCAAGCACTGTCTGTGATACCTGTCCCCAATGGGGTGGGTGTTCCCTCTGTGGAACAGAAGACCCTGGTGAAGGAGGTGACGGGCCACGACAATGGTCAGGAAGGATTTTGTGGGGAAACGTGAAGAAAGTCACTCCTCCCCAGGGACAGGAGCAGGATCAGCTGCCAGTAATGGCCCATTAATCTTCGGAAGGCTCCAGTCATCAGCATTCATTCAATAGCATATACGGATTGTTAGGCCAAACTGACCACTTAGCAAGCAGTCTCTCTGTACTTTGTGCCGCTGGTATTCATCCCTATAATCAAATTGTCTAATTGAAAAAGTCCATATTGACAAACCGATAGGGAGTACATTGACTTAATAGTAGTTTTGAATTATTAATTGTGTAGTTTTTATTGCATAAAGATGTTGCTTTTTAAAAAAAAAAAATCAGGCCTTCTCTTATTTTGGAAACTTCCTGAGACTGACATAAGGAAGTTTTGTGAATGCTGTAAAAGTGATTTGGTTTTTTGTATGCACGGGTTTTGTGCATGTGCGTGTGTGTGTGTGTGTGTGTGTGTGTGTGTGTGTGTGTGTGTAGACTGATTCCTTACGTGACCTGAGCCAGAGATGGGAATTTAAAGTTTGCTCTATTAGTCCTGTGTAACCACCACTTGGGGAAGAAGGGATGGGGAGTCAACATACAAGGTTGTGCACTGGTCACACTGACCCCTCCAAGAAGGACAGCCTGATTTAGGCCTGAGCCAGGGCACTGCAGTGATAATTCAGAGCATGTGACTGGGCCCATAGCAAGTACTTAGCAAAGACGGGCTTATTGGTTAAATGATAGAAAGGAACATTGTGTCATTTATAAATCGCATTCAGCTGCATTTAAGAAAGACCCAGAAATTGGTGAGTTTATTCTCGCGTATAGTTAAAGTCAAGAGGCAGGTGCTCCATGATTCAGCCTCCTTTCTTTCTTCTCCACAATCCCTAGTGCATGGTTTTCATCCTTAAGACCACTTCATGGTCCAAGATGGCTCCTGGAATGCCAGCCACCAAACCACTATGCAGGTTTGAAGGAGGAATCAAGGCAGGAGGGCAGAAAGTTGTCATGTCTTCCAGCAAGCAGTATTCCAAGGTGGCCCCCACAACACTTCTACTCACAGTTCAGCGGCCAGGAGGTAGTCAGATGCTCACACTTAGCTGAAAGTGAGGCTGTGAAATATAGTCTTTACCAAGGCACACCACCACCCTAAAACAAAATAGGGACTCTCTTACTAAGGACTTAGGGAAAATGAATATTGAGTTAGCATTAGTGGTTTCTGTCACAAACACCATTATATTAGCATGGCTTTGTGGGGGAGACAGATTGGCAACATCCATTAAAATGTTAGATATTCATACTTTTTGAACCAAAAAATTTATTTTTAGAAATCATTTCTATACATTTATTCACACACACACACACACACACACACACACACACACACCCAACACAGCACTATTTATAACATCAATAAATTGGAAACAACATAAATGTCCATCAATAGACAAATTGTTCAAAAAACTGATGCATATGATGAAATACTATGCAGCTATAAAAGAAGAATGAGGTGACTATAAGTATTGAGGTGGAATATGATGTATTATTAAAACAAAAAAGCAAGTTGCAGAACATTAAACATAAGTATAATATGACCCCATTAGTAGTATTTTATTACACATGTTCCTGCAGATGTATGAGAATCTCTGTGGACAGAGAGGAATGGGCATGTGTGATTTGAAAGAGTTGCCAGAAACTTGAAAAGAAAAACTCAGAGTTAATGATGGTGAGCTGAACTCCTGAGATGAAGAAAAAAGTCAAGTCTATAGTCAGAGAGAGTGGTACCAGTCTGGTTTCCAGAAGAATTCTGCCTGTACCAAATTTGCACCCAAATCTTGGATGGGCCAGTCTGATGTAAAGCCTTCACAGCACATCTTAATGGTGAACCTGGAGTGCAGCTGGCAAAACGGTGAACAGATACCCTGATGCAACACTGTGCTACACTGGCATTCTATGCTGATAATAGCATGCTTTTAATACAGTAACCTCTCACCAGAAACAAAGGGAACTTTCCAATGATACCAAAATAAAACAACAACATACAAATATGCATAGTGAGCTAAAACTACAATCGAGAGAGGAAAGCAAACCACAAAGCTTGGAGGATAAATCCAGTGCCAGTCACAAATGCAGGACTGAAAGCGAAGGTCTGAGCCTGTCGCCTGGGCCCATGCCCTCATTAAGAAGTTAACCTGCAGACATCACTCTGAGCAATATTTTTACTGATACATCCCCGCTGGCTACGGAAGTAAAAGAAAAAATGAACATATGGGACTACATCAAACTTAAAAGTTTTTTCACAACAAAAGAAACCATCAATAAAACAAAAAGGAAGCC